TTGCCATGTCGTATCATAAGGACTATAGGGCAAAACAGCGCCACTTTGTTACGGCAGGTTTTCCTTCCAGGTGCGCTTGCGCGGGAAATCTGTGTTGCCATGTCGTACAGGGCCTAAAGAGGAAAAAAGCGCCACTTTGTTACGTCCAGTTTTCCTCCAGACGTGCTCGCGCCAAAAACTTATCTGGCCATGTCGTATCATAAGGACTATAGGGCAAAACAGCGCCACTTTGTTACGGCAGGTTTTCCTTCCAGGTGCGCTTGCGCCGGAAATCTGTGTTGCCATGTCGTATCGGGCCTAAAGAGGAAAAAAGCGCCACTTTGTTACGTCCAGTTTTCCTCCAGACGTGCTCGCGCCAAAAACTTATCTTGCCATGTCGTATCATAAGGACTATAGGGCAAAACAGCGCCACTTTGTTACGGCAGGTTTTCCTTCCAGGTGCGCTTGCGCCGGAAATCTGTGTTGCCATGTCGTATAGGGCCTAAAGAGGAAAAAAGCGCCACTTTGTTACGTCCATTTTTCCTCCAGACGTGCTCGCGCCAAAAACTTATCTTGCCATGTCGTGTCATAAGGACCATAGGGCAAAACAGCGCCACTTTGTTACGGCAGGTTTTCCTTCCAGGTGCGCTTGCGCCGGAAATCTGTGTTGCCATGTCGTATAGGGCCTAAAGAGGAAAAAAGCGCCACTTTGTTACGTCCAGTTTTCCTCCAGACGTGCTCGCGCCAAAAACTTATCTGGCCATGTCGTATCATAAGGACTATAGGGCAAAACAGCGCCACTTTGTTACGGCAGGTTTTCCTTCCAGGTGCGCTTGCGCCGGAAATCTGTGTTGCCATGTCGTATAGGGCCTAAAGAGGAAAAAAGCGCCACTTTGTTACGTCCAGTTTTCCTCCAGACGTGCTCACGCCAAAAACTTATAAACCCTGGCCGTGGTAACCTAAATTCTGGTCTGGGGGTTCTTAAATTCCATTTTTTGGGTGATTGTGAACAAAAAACCCCCAATGGAGGCTTTCAGAGACCCCTTTTTTGGTCTATTTGGGTGATTATGGGTTTAGGGTTTAGGGGCTAAATGGCCCTCTGTGGAAACCCTGAAAGTCGGCCTGAGAGGTCTTCTGCATGCCCCACATAGGGGAGGTGAGACCAGCACAGTTCAAAGCAATTGCTGATAGATGGGAGAGAACACATTTTTTTGATTAAGCTTTAAAATGCCAATACCGAGCTTTCATGATTCTTTGAGCCACATCTTGTTTTTATGTTCTGGGCAGGACAGAAAAATGGTTAATCTCACACACACACACAAACAAAGAATATTCTTTTAATTCGTGTCGGTCGAAAAGCGAGGTACAACAATGATGTAGCAAGTGGTTCTGCCTCTTTCATCTCATGCCCCGAACCCCTAAACCTTAACCCCTACACCCTCAACCACACCTTGCAGCACTGAGACCTGAACCTTGCATGCCTTAAATCCTAACCCTAGCCTCTGACCCCTCAAACCCTACACCCCAAACCCCCAAGGTGACCTGTCAGGAGCTATG